ATGTTTTGATGGATCAATGTCGCCATCTGTGATGTGTTTAGCTGCAACTAAATTTTTTCTCTAAAAACACGTGTTAACCACGGGACAAGCCAGCATTCTCTTGCATTGTTCGAGCAAGGTCTTAAAACTCTTCATTTTTTATTCTAAGCCTCCTTGAAGCATAAAACATCGAAAACATGCACGGACCACGCTATGATGGTTCTAGTCCACGATAAATTTTTTATATAAAATGAAATTTCGTGAGTTTTAGGACCTACTTGAAGGCCTCCATATTTACGTAGTAAAATTTGAAACGAATCGATACATCCAATTCGAAAAATACTTTCACCAACGATTAGACTTCTCAGATATATATAGGCTGGCTCTTTTACGTCACCTTAAATGCGCAAAACTTTCAAAACTTATATTTGCTGAAAATGAAAAAAAGGACGCTTAGAAATTTCATGCTAACGAAGTAACTGTTTTCATTAACAATCTCAAACATTTCTAATTGCTGCAAGTCGCTCCTGGTCTGAACCTGGTATTAGTCGTCCACAGGCTCCGTTACATTACAGTTTTACACTTGCTCTCTGCGACGATGGTAAAAGTGTAACGAATCGAGTGCAGAGTAATCGCGCAGTCAACCCGACACTGACAAGCTGAACATGATACATTGGCATCGGCCCCTTGCACTGACCAGTCCAACCAGTTTATTGGTGCTACTTTACACCAGAGCAGCTCGGTGTAACCCAGTTGAAAACGCTATATGTTACAGTTACATAACATTGGAATAACGTGACATATAACATGTTAATGATATGTAACGTTATTCGTTTTATAACAGTGTAATGTAGCTACGTAGGAAATGGTATTATGAATCTTACTTACATGTTACACGTATATTACATTACAAGTTATAAACGTGATGTAACGATTATATTATTGTTACGTAACTGTGTTTAGTGGAAGAGTAGTCGCACCGTCAATCTGACACTGTCAAGCTGATGATGATTTACTGGCACTGAGACACTGCATGGATCAGTCAAACACGTTTAGTGATGCTACTCTACGCTAGTGCAGCTCAGTGTAACCAGCTGGAAACATTATAAATGTATGCACGTGTATTCACATGTACTTGTGCGTGCATGTGCGCGCACGTATCACACTCGTACCCTTTGAATGTTTGATACCGAGGTTAAATGATACTGTTCACACACTTAAAATCTACACGACAAAGTAGTAACTTTTCAATCTGATGGATTAGCAGCTTTGTAGATGTCTCAACGCAAGTATCAATCAAAGGACGTGCCTATCATCTGCAGTATACCTTGTTTTATTTTATCTATAATTTTATTGTAACCTCCTGAATGCTTATTAATTTCGTAATTTTGAACATCTGCATTTTATGCATTATTTTATCCGGATGTAACATAGTAATTGATATAGATTAAACAATTTTAACATTAAAAAAGGATTCTTTGTTGAACAACCATTACTCTCAGCAATTCTCCAGTGTAAAGAACTGACGGAGTAAATCTCAAGGATCCTTTGAATATTTAACCACAACTACAAAACTAAACGTGGATTTTATATCGGGTAATAGACAGGAATAAAAAATGACAGTAAATATTGAATGTACATTGAGGTAATGTATGTAGTAGATCCATCCCGATAATCATCGCATACAAAGTATATACACAGAGTGGCTTATTATCAGCGATGATCGCCCCCATGATAATGTTTAATTAAGGAAGATATGGGAAATTATTGTTTACAAAAGTTACACTGCTTTGTGCAAACGACAGTTTTACCTAAATAAATTTCCACAATTTCAACGCATAGTGGATGTCACTCTATATATAAATGTATTTACATTAGGTTTCTTAACACACGTAAACGTCATCTTAAACAGTACGCCGAAATTCCGAGATCGCTGCAAATACCATGTTACTTTTTACATGAAAATGTTACATAATATTATTCTAAAATAGAGTATTATTGGCACGCCAATAAAGGATACAAGAGAAACGCGAACAAATGTTTTTTTTTACATTAATAATTAAACTTATACCTTTGTTACTACAATACAACATTTAATGCGCGCAGAATAAAGTGATTACATAAATTTGTACGCGGATCCGAGTTTTCCTATCGAAGTTCCATCTAGAATGGTTTCATTTAATTAAAAAAACTATCTCTTTTGGATTTTAATTAGATTATATAACAGAGAAAAGTTCTGAAAAACGCTCTTCTAATTTGTAAAACATGGACCAATTGCGACATCATATCGTTCTATGAAACAGAACATTTTTAGGAAAAGGTTCAGAGGCCTAATCACATTTAGTCGGAGACATATCTAAGCAGGAACGCGTATAAGACGAGGCGAAACGAATACCTCGTACTCACAAGGAAGGTTCCTGAGGTATTCCCCTCCGATTTTGTTCATTTTTAAATATGTTATAGAGGACTAAAATCCAAGGGACCCGTGTTTTTTTTTTTTATCGGCGGATAAACACTTTTAGGGGGTGAAAGCAGGCTTCAAAGTTGTCCGTGCAAGGGGGTGAGTTTGCTGTTTCATACAGAAGCACTCGACCGATTTTCATGAAACAACCGTCAAAATGTAGGGAATAAAGAATTATGAAACATTCATTTTGAATTTTTCGAAAAAATTCATTTTTAAGGGGTGAGCCACCCCTTTGAATACTTCTTTTACCCCTTACGCGAGCAGTAATTGCTCTATCCAAATGAAACTTGGTTAATTTATAGACCAGAACAATACAGAAAAAGCGTAGATTGGTTTTTTTCGAAAAATGAATTTTAAGGGTTGTACCAACCCTTTAATAAAATTATGTATAATCTCTTTTTAAACCAGCTTTGTATGACTTTCTTGGACTTAAAGAACTTTAACGATTAAAATTAGTAAAAGAATACGATCAGGTACCATCTGATACATTCGAAGGGTAAATTACCTCTTGGGTTCAAAGGAATGTGATTCGTAGAATATAAGACTATGGAGTTAGCTGTCCTTGTAACTAGTGCGTAGCCGAGTGGTAACGCCGCGCGAGCGAGCAGTATGCAGTGCCAGGTTTTCAACCACTACATGTAAGTAATATTTCATTCTCTCATCTTTAAGAAATACAGTTGCCAAGTTTCATTTGGATAGAGCAATTCCTGCTCGTGTAAGGGGTAAAAGAAGTATTTAAAAGGGTGGCTCACCCCTTAAAAATGAATTTTTTCAAAAAATTCCAAATGCATATTTCATAAGTCTTCATTCCCTACATTTTGACGATTGTTTCATGAAAATCGGTCGAGTGGTTCTATATGAAACAGCAAACTCACCCCCTTGCACGGCCAACTTTGAAGTCCGACTTCACCCCCTAAAAGTGTTTATCCGCCGATAAAGAAAACACGGGTCCCTTAGATTTTAGTCCTCTATAACATATTTAAAAATGAACAAAATCGGAGGGGGACACCTCAGGTACCTTCCTTGCCTGATGTGTGTGCGGTAACGAACGAAACCGTCTGAGACAATATATCGACATTTTGCTGAACGACATCCGAACAGTCTCCGATTACGAGCCCAACAATCCGAAACAGTTTGCCGCGCTTTGTTCTACACTTGAATATTCCGCCTTGTCTCGTACGTGTTCGCGTTCAGATATATACAGGGTTTAATACCCTTGATCGTTTTATTGTGGATAAACCGCGTATAATAAAAAAATAAATAAGTTGCGGCGGCGCAGGAAGTAGATGTATACGGACATCAAAAAAAAGAGAGGTATACTATTTCGAATTTTATAAAAGCAGTTATCATATGGTTTTGGGATATTTCAATGCAAATCAGATAATAGAACCTGAAAATTCAAAATGGTGGTTCCACTATGGCGGATCAAAAATTTAAAAATGGTTGGATTTTTGTTAAAATGGATATCCTAACGTTTTTGGGATTGCTGAATTTGAATTTGATATAAAAAATTTAAGAATTCAATACGACGAATAAAGTATGGAATTGTTAAGGTGAAGTGAAACACCCTTCAAAACAGTCGATTTGAATACAACACTCTTTTTTAAGGGTATTAGACCAAACTGTCCGAAACTTTGACACATCACTCCTGATCATCTAAGAATTGTCCTGACACATTCAAAATTTGGATTTTTGAAAAAAATGTTTGAACTCAGCCCAGACCAGAACCAAAATGGCGTCGAGCTCTCATATTTTGATCAGTACACAATTATCGAAGGTTCTGATATGAGAATCGAAAGGGTCAGGTCAATTTTACGACAATTTAGAACACTTTGATAGTCGATAAACTCGCATTTGAACGGGATAAGGACAAAAAAAGTGTTGTTTACGCTTCTACGCTAAAACGATGGTAATAAGAGGTCTCGGAGTGAAAATTTAATTGACCTGGAAATCACAGATGGCACAGGGGGTCCCTCTGTAGTCAATTAGGGCCCCAGAAAGCATGAATCCAGAGGATTTCTAGAGTTTTACTTCGATTTCTTGATAATTATTGTACGAAAACGACAGGTGGATTATGTCATTTGGTACGTTACCCAATATAATTCGGTACAGCTGTCGATATAAAAACGAACGTCGGCAACGTAGGCATTTAGAAAAATCTTCTTTATCGACGTTGATCAAGTTAATCGACGTGTATCACTTCACCTTAAGGTGGTATGAAGGGCGCTGAGAAATTTATTCGGTGGCGATAATATAAAGTTTATCTGTACCCTTTTTGGTGGTAGCAACATTTTGAATACTCAAGTGGTAACACAAGCTGGCGTACTGCGTTATCGACATTCTCATTTATGCTGACGTTTGTTACACTCTACGTGTAGAATTATACGAAATTAAGCGTTCCACGTATCAGTTATGTACAATAGTTATAAAGAGATCGAAGTAAAACTGTCGAAACCTCGAGGATGCATGATTTTTGATACTCTAATGGACTCACGATGTCACCTGTGACGTTTAGCTGTAACTAAATTGTTACCCAAAAAACACGTGTTACCCCTGGAACAAGCCAGCATTCTCTTGCAATCCTCCAAATTATGCAAAGATTATTTAGAAAATAAGATTATTACTTTTATAAACTTAATTGCTACGGCCAAAAATGTTGCCGAGATATGAACTGTTAATTTTCTCTCTTATCTATGAAACTTGAAATATGACACGATCTGAAAAAGAATAAACCTATGTCATTTAAGGGGGTATTATCGTGTAGAAGTTTGTTTTTTAAGTAATTTTTAGGAATTCATTTTGCGATAACTATCAAACCTACAGTGCCGGGGTTTTTGCCGCATATTAAGACATGTTTCAGCTAGCAATACAAATTTTTATGAAATTCTTTATTGAAATCTATGCAAGTTATGCGCTGTTACGCAGGTCGTTGCGGGGGACGCTTGTCCAATCGGGCGGACGGGTTGCGGCAATTCTAGTCGTCCGAAACAGAAGAACAAAATTTTTTTTTAATCTCTATGAATGTAGTTATCGTCTGAACTAGAACTAAGTAAGTATGAAATTTTGTATAGAAATCGCAGCTGTTTGAAAATTAAGGTTTCATTTTCCTGAAGAATTTTCAACTAAAACATGAGAGCGGGGCTCAAATATTCAAGCTATCGGTATCATTCTAGTTCGAACTATAGGTGAAGGTTCCGGCGAAATGTGTGCAAAACCCGAAGTCAATCGGCCCAATAATTTTTGAGAAAAACGTCCGCCCGGCTTGAAAAACGTTGTTTCGAGAAAAACGCGTTTAAAATTTGCCATACATTTAGCACGTACGGTGGATAACAACTGATTTGAGTAACTTACACTTTAATCAATTATACCGGGACCATACAAACCACGTTACTCAGCTTCAAAATGACAATATTGAGTTCTACGAATTTCAAATTAATATTTTCGAGACACATTCTAAGAACCCCAGACTATAAGAAAATGCAAAAAAAATTGAATTTTTGAAATTTCTAAACGATAATAACCCCATAATATCGATGAACCAGTACATATCCTCCATAAGAAATTTCTTCAAATTTGGAAAGTAAGAGAACAAATCACTTTAGTACTATTTCATGTTACATAAACGAAATACTATTATAAGGGAATTAGTTCTTCATCAAACGAAACCATTCTGATAGAGTCTCCAAAAAAAAACCCCACAATCAAAGTTATATATTTACAGCATGAAAATAAGTTCATTCTAAGTAAAGGCTGCTATCATGAATTGGTATATGTATGATCAAATATAAATTCTAGATTAAAGTATCATAAAATAAATAATTTATAAAAGATGAAATACAAAATGATTATTCCTGGTTCCTTAATGCTAGTATGATATCGAATACTCTGACATTTAAAATTAAAGGACATTAACAAACAACCACAATGGGCACCTTGTTTACGGTACATTACACTTCTAAAATAAAATGTTAATGCTTGAAAAAGTATATAATTGCATAAAGTATAATTGAAAAATGAAAACGAAGTGAAAGGGAACTCAGCATGATTGAAATCGCACTAATGAAGAGAGATTTTCACATAAATATTTGACCCTTTTCCTACCTAAGTTTAATGTATTTACAATAAAAGGTACGTAGTGCTTCACTGAAACTCACTCTTTTTTTCAACAATGTGACTACTATGAAATAGTAATAATACGTGACATGACCTACAATAATAATTTGTAACTTTATTTTGACATTCGAGATTCATAATCAATTCGGGAGCATTAACATTTAAGCGTTTCATTATAAATCATGCTGGGCGACACGGACTTAATATTCAGATTTTGTTGCTGTCGTTCAAAATCTCTTGGATTATCTGTAAAATGTTATAGCGTTACTCTTACTTGTCAACAATTAAGTCTTCATAAATAAATTATTCGTCAAATTTTCGCATGAATCATACGCTGGTTTCTTTCTTAGCAACATGTGGCGATGCCGTGTTCTCCAAATACATGTCATCGTCGATAAGGACGCCCTCTGTATAAGCATGAACATTACTGAAGCTTGTATCTTCGTAAACTATCTCTATGTTTGAATTTATGCCAACATGTCGATCCAGAGTTAACGAGCCGTTAACCGCTGTCAAGGCGGTTAAATTAAGTAATGGCTCGGATTCTTTGACAGGGCAATCACTAGAAGGGCTGTCTAACTTGGTACTATCGGTAGATCTACACTCATCTTTAATGTCTTTGACAGTTTGCCTGGAAATTACGAGCTCATATGTACTATCCCCAAAAAAGCTGCCAATTTCAGTAAGTGATCTCTCCGATCCGATTGTAGACTTCCGGAAATCCGAAGTTCTTTGACTTGGAAAGGAACCAGCCATACTTCGTATATCGGTAAGAGACACTTTAAAGTTGCTACAATTCTTGGAACTTGCCAAAGAGGCAACGTCATTAAGCGACCCTCTATAACTTCTAGGAGGATCAGGTCGATGTATGGGCAAGCAATATAGGCTACTAGACCGGTCTAGTCTATCGCATTCTCTCCTGAGACCCTCATTTGCTGCGGCAAGATCAACGGTTGTTTCTAGATTACTATATGCTTGTTCCTTTTCAAACTCTCTGTCAACTTCATGAAATTCACGATCACTCCGTTCACTCGTCATTTGCACTGATTCCATCTCTGAACTATATTCTAAACTACATTGCTGGGAAACATTGCGGAGATACTTTTCATCCTCATCAGTCTTCACTTCAGTTACATCAGATTCATATGTATTAGCAGGTACATATCTTTTACATTGTTTATCCCGTTGCTTGAAAGCTTCTCTGGACGAAGGCATCCTACTATCTACTGGTTTCTCGCATTTGGTTTGCAGCCTGTCATTAATCCTAGCTCTTTTAGTGCTCTTACCTGCGCTCTCTCGCCCAATAACAAACCGCATTGGGGCATTCCTATTATCGGAAACACTACCGCCACTATCTGACAAAATGTTGACATTTTTTAAATCGTTCATTAAAGGCTTTGGTTCCACGTGAATGTTGGTGTTATTAACCTTAGCGCCACTGCCTCCAAAGATACTACGACCGGTTTCAGTTCTAAATTTAACAGGTCGCGGAATAGATACACAACTGCCGCCGTCACTCGTGGCGCCTCCATCTCCCTGCTTTCTAGGCCCCAAATTACCGCTATTATTGTTATTATTATTACTGCTGTTATTGTTTTTCGTATGACGCCTTTGTTTCTTAAAAAACTTTCTGGCTACTCCACTTTGTCTTGGATTGTAGAACATATCGACACAAGCCGGCGTGGGTTCTGCATACGTGGTAACAGAGTTATTACATCTGTATTGTCTTCGATGAAGTACGACAAGATTTACGTTAGCGGCTTTGGTGCTGTCCGTAGAATTGAGATCAGAAGCCACTTTTAAGGTTATATCACATCCTCTAGTGATGTTTGTCCGCCGTGATGAACTCAAAGAGTTAGAATCAGTGGCACCAGTCAAGCCCGATGGTGTGGCCTGAATCAGTTGATTAGATGTCAATGTTGGAATATTTTGTACTAAAGGCTGCGCTGAGACGGGTGGATTAGCATCCGAGACACTTCTTGTTCTGCAGCATCTGCTTTTCTTCCTTCGCAACCAGCAGCGCATTCTCAACCATTGGTACCTTACGTCACTACGGGCTATCCCGTAAAAAAAGAAAATAAAAAGTCCCAGGGTGCCGGTAGAAACAGCATATAAAATTGAAAAGGCAGTCTCCTCGTGAAGAAAGTATGTACTAAAAGGTTTCGCAATGACCATGGCACCTGAAGACCACGCTATCAGATACAATATCAAGATTATAATTTGACCTTTCAGTTGAGTTATCTGCGAATGTTCGAGGTCTTCGACCTCGGAGGATACAGTTCTACTTGTACGTATGCTGGCTCCGTCAGGAGCTGAAGTAACATTAGGTTCTAATAGTTCCAGGTCCACATTCTCGGTGGCCTGAGTGCCTTCGGAAAGACGAGCATTTAAGTCCGTACTTCGAATGGCGCATCTAATTAATAGATGAAAGACTGTGAGATATACGATGAGGATTACCGCTGGAACGAAGAGCGCTGCGAGGGCCGGGCCAGAGCTCAGAAAGCAGTACGAGTATCCGGCGTACTCGCGAAGATTAATAGCCCCGGAAATACCGCATATTATCAAGGCGATACCCCACCCAACCAAGTAGAGACCCAGCAAAGGCTTCTGGATCGGTTGGTCCGCGAGTTCTTCGTCCGGCATGGTATCGATGTCGGACTTGGACAGCCGTCCATACATGTTACTGAAAACGTAAGAGGTACGTTCCAGCGAATGAAGGAACGAACGAATTAATTTGAGTCGTTCAGTGCGATAAGCATACCTCGCGGATACAGCCATCCAGAGTAAACAGCAAAGAGACAGATAATGTAGCACCAAACCGACGCCTTGGCAGAGAGATATGTTTTCTGTCTGGTGAATGCCGATGCTGTATAGGAAACATAGCAGCGCTATAGCGACCCATGTGTTCACCACGCAATGCTTTGCTCTTTTCGGCATCACGATGGATGCGTAACAGATGGCATACGTTACTGACGTCAATGCCAAACACGTTATGGCCACGATGCTCCCAATGTATATTGCCGGGTTAGAGTATCTGAACTTGGCTCCGGTTAAACTGAAACCATCCCATGCAACGAGAATGGACTCTTCAAGCATGCAGAGCCTAATTATTTATTTCATAGGTACTAACATGTTGCGCGTTCACTTTATAGTTCATTTTACCTACATTCAATCCGTTAAAGATATAGTAATATTAATCCTTTGAATGGAAACGAGACCCGTGAAAAAACAAAAATATATAGTATTCAATTATAGAATACAATTTAATTTACTATTGCAATAAACTTAATTGACTGATACAAGTTTATCTAAATTTTTATTTTAGTAAAATTAATAATCATGGAATCATCTTCGTTGAATAATATTTAAGTTTCGCAATTCAAACTAGTTTTGAATTAGTCCGCTAGTTAGAACAAGTAGTCAAGTGCGCGGTAATCTTTTCCAGTAAAAGTGAGCGCGCAGAAGTTGTGTGTTAGGACATACCTTCCTTCCTTTCGACTAATGTATGAAGTATCTTGCAGCAATCCGTAGTATCCTAATCTGTTGCAACGAAATATTATCAAATTATTCACCAAGTCAGAAAGTTGGCACCCTTCGTTACTCCATCCGCTTGTTCCATTAGTTGTAGAATCCCAGACCACTGGCCTTGGTCTACTTCCTGTATAATGATACAACGGAGCCTTCAACATCACATATACGGGTTCGAGCAAATTACCGATTGCTGTACCATCTGTGACATACAAAAAAAAAAAATTAATTCTTAATGAAATTATATGTGATGTATAATTTATGTATCGTTATTGATGTAACAAATTATATAATTGCTTTCTTTTTAAAAATTGAGATGTGAGACGTACTAAGTTTGGTACCAATGACGGACGATGTCACATCCATTTTACTATCAGGCAGCACGTTGGGGAACAGTCCACTGTCACGATACATAGAGATCACGAGGTTATGAGTCACAACAAATCCTTCAAGATGTGTCAACAACGAAGCTGGTAGTTGAATTGACGCTTCAATTGTTTTATCCTTCGTATTAACTGGTGTAGTTCTATTATTAGTTGCGCAATGCAATGTCCTTGATGTTTCAGAATCCGAACTTGATACCGTAGTACTATACCAAGTGCAAGTCAAACCTTTAAAGTTCTCTCGTCTTACTCTAAATTTTTCTAATGCCATGTTCTTTTTATGCGATTGAATCATAGGTGTTAGTTCCGTTATTGTCTCCACTGCTCTAATCAATCTCGTACAAGAATCATATCCAACTTCTGCCATTTTCAGTATTTCTTTTGGAAGGTTCATTACTGAACTAATTACATCTACCAATATTGTACCAAGTTCTTTTTCTTCACCGAGAAAACGCAAATAATTCTCAATTGTTTGCGTTATAAAGTGTATTTCAATGGGGTCGGTGAGTTTGCTTCCATCACTAGTATAATTTTTAAATTTCTTTGTAGTTTCTAGTAAATTTCCTTTAGTCAGCGAAAGGTTAACTTTTGAGAATTGTTCTAGGACTTTTGTTGTATGAGAGACATAAGGACAGGATTCAGTGTTAAGATCTTCCCACTGACCCATGCCGTTACATTGATACGAAGCTCGCAGTGGTGTTTGCATCATCAGACCAGATAACCGACTGCCTTCGCAAGGTAGTTCTACCTTCCACCCAACTACCGTTCGAGGCCAGGAATAAATTCCTTTGTTATTTCTGGTTACTAAAATATTACATTATCAATTATTAATATCAATATCATTTAAAGAGCAACGGTAATTGGAACAAATATTTCGATTCACATTTTTACACGTTAGTTTACAATACTTACCTGTCAAAGGACAATAGCGAGTGTCATCCGAAATGACAATGACACCGATTGCTCTTGAGCCATTTCCATGAGTTGAAACTAATAAGCAGTTCCATCGCCCACCATGTTCTTCTTGAACATGCGCAATCTGTAAAGAACTGGGACAGCAAAAGAATATTAAACTTAAAATTTTAAATATACAGTTCGTAAACTGTAACGCTTCTAGTAATAGTTTATGTCACTAATAATATCATAGTCCAATAAATACATTTTAGAAGCAGCCCCTTAAATATCAATAAAAGCAACATAATATTTTTTATAATATATTGGGTAGTTGAATTAATTTTGTTACACGTAGTTGAGTTAACTTCAGAACAACTTTACTGTAGTAAACAAAAAAATTTATTCACATTATAGTCCCCATTAATATTTGCAATAGGTATTAGTATATTACTATCAGTCAAAAAGTTATTTCGTCTATTAATTGAATCAACTTGAAATAGTCAAATCAAACACATCATCAGAGGTAAAACAACATTGCCAAGTGTGTGAACATGTATGTGCCTGTTACAACCTGTTCCGACCATGAATTCGGGTACATTATATTAATGGATTACAAAAATATGAGATCACATCGAAAACACCTTCATCGGATGTAGAAAAAACTGCGCCAACTACACATACAGGGTGTAACAGAACTCATAGTCACTGTTTATATAGCGCTATCCTTCTTGAAAGAAGAGTCGAAAAGTTGTGACGAGAATATTCGAGCGATCGAGCTGGAGTCGACTAGTGTTAGATCCCTACTTAACATTTTATTTTAAGTAATATTAAGAAAGAAGCTCTAAGCAGCGCGTCTCGTGCTCCAAAACGCTCCTAGAGACACGCTCTCCCTCGTTCTTTGTCTCCCCTTTGTTTCTCTGCGTACTTCCGCACCCCAAACCAGATAACAGCCCTGGGATAGGCAAACATTCGGATTCTCTGGAAAAGACGACTTTCCACTTGTTTCCCGTTCAACCTGTCCCCAAGCCAATCACACGAGACATTCCCCTTCTCAACCTTAAAAACCCACCAATAAGCAGCCTTCTTTGCATCTAGGAACACCCCAGTTTAGTATAAAAAGGCCTGCTCCGAAGTGCTAGCACTCTGACTAGCGAAGTTTGAACTGTCTCTACTCTGTAACCTGCGTGCGAAGCACCTGTAACTCTGGGCAAATACCAGTCCCCTTAAGTCGACTACTCTACGAGTCATTCCTGTAAACCAAGAGGCATCGGAAATACAGTATCTTCATTACTTCACTCGACGAGGTCTTTGGCTGGTTTCAACCACCTGGAAGCGAGTCCCAAAAACAACCCAAGAGGCCCGGTCCGACCGATATGCTCAGGCAACCGTTATCGCTGCTCTTGAGCAAACGATCCCCGACCTAACACTAGATTCTTCTCTAACGTCCTATGTTTATGTTTCGAGGGCCAACGGTGCCGACGGTTGGCGCTCTTTAGTCGGTAGAGGTTCTCTGGCGACAATGGACGCGGGTCACTCCCGAAAACCACAAAAAATTTAAGGAACAATTCTGACAGCGGAAGCATAACATCTTTAAGTCTTGTACTACTTTTTTCTACAGTGTATAAATTTCCTGTGATGGCTAAGTGAAGCACAACCAATCAATCGGGTTTCCGAACAGAAGGCACAACGGAGAGGATGCCGGTAGGGCTGCGTTTGGTTGTCTGCGGCATAGCAGACTCACGGTCGCTCTCTCCGCTATGCCTTCCGTTCGGGAACGTGATTGATTAGTTGTGCTTATTGTTAGTTAACATAGGACTTCTTGACTCCTTTTTCAACAAGGATAGCGCTGTATAAACAGTGACCACGAGTTGTTACACCCCGTATACTCTCTACAAAATAATGTTTCAAATATGAAAAAAACTGCCGTTAATTGCCGGCGCCTAACGATCTCGGTGGCGTCTAACGGATTCGGTGAAAGGGGTTTTCCGCAATTCGGTGGTCCTGCCGGTCCTCGGAGCTCATTGTTCTGGATACTCCGAGTGTGGCCAGTGCTACCGATTGCTGTTTTAGTCTACCGTTTTCCGCCTTGTTGCCATCTCGCTTCCACTTTCGACCGACTTGGTGAGGGAACCTGGATAGGGATCCAGTAATGTTCGTTTCCGCTCCAATGAAATAAATTGTAATCTCGAGAAACCTCTTTGACACACGACCGATCTCCCGTTATCTTTTGTTGAACCGCGTGGCGCCGTATGAAATAACTGCGATTAAATAATTAGTGATTTTTCTACTGCCGCGTTCTTGTTTTGCCCGGAGCTCTTTTCGCGCGTAAAAAAACCGATTTTTTGTAATCTATCGTCGATGACCCCCTGGTTTATCGGTATTGACCCGCCCCGACCAATAGAAGTCCGCTTATTTTATGGGATCCGGACGGAGTTAGGCGTTGTGCCTCATTATCCTTCTCGAGGCGCCGGTAGAAATCTCGAGGAGCTTACGGCTTCCTCTTATCGTGCGTAGGGCTTTAATTTAAATTTGCCGGTGGAGTCTAGAAGTGTTCCGGTCTTTTCTTTTTAATAAATGAGCATCCATGAATGTTGTTGAGAATTTAGACTTCTTTTATTTCCGTTTTCCTAATTCAAAATCCTGCCACTGCTCAGTACCTTTTCCGAATCCCCTTTCTCTACCGTGTCGCAAGCGGCCGCGTGAACGAGCTTAATTTTCCTAGCCGGATAAATTGATGGACTTGCGGCATGCCGAGGCATACTTGGCGCCATAAATAAATATAAACAAGTCGTCTCTAATGATTGAATTCCATTGCCCGGCTGAAGATCGGAATCTCCGTGGAAGAGTCTTACGGAGTCCTAATTTGCAGGGTGTGGGATGTGAGGCCCCAATATCCGTCACAATACCAAATACAAAAAACAACTTATTCCTAGTTCTTTAATAACTTTTTTAAACTAAAATATTAAAACACACGATCTACAACAAAAAAATATAAAGAATTCGTAAAACATTTTTGGCGAGCCCCATAATAACATATCAATAATTACACGAAAACGATGATCTCCAAAACTACATTTTCGATTTGAATTAAACGTTGAGCAACACGTCTTTAATAATCATAGGCTTTTGTTATTATACACCAAAAGGTTATAGGTAACCATCTGCTGGCCTTAGGCGAAGTCTGGTTTTACGATCGTTAATACTAAGTTGAATATTTGGTGAGATTGGCATTGTTACCGACGCAATGATTCCTGCATTGTATCTACGTACAGGATTGAGGGATGAGTAGCCACACCATCGGGTCATGGGAGAGTTTTTCTCGGTCGAATAGCGCAATGTGATCATGTACTGTAATTCTAGCTCGATGGCAAGAGCACCAAACTTCTGGAGCACTCTCGTTAGCGCGCCGCTATGACGCGTAGTGCGAGACCGAAATAAAAACCCTAATAATCCCAAGTTATTGTTTGCATGCCCTTATAAGGGATTGTTGAATTCGGAGCCCAAGTAGTCAACCCGACCCCCCGTTGGGGGATGTAATGATATGCCTTGCCTTTTAGGGGGCGCGTAGCGCCGAAACCTGGCGGTAACACGATCTGGCAATAACAAGCAAAGTGAGGATCAAATATCTGTGAGGTGATATATTGAAAAACGGCAAAAGACGACAAGATGGGGCAAGAGAAGGAGTGAAGGCGAAGAACAAGAGTTCGTTATATAGATTTGAAAAAAGCCCGCTATGGTACCCAATTGTCTGTTGCTTGGATGGCACCGCTACGACACCACTGAATCACGGGTGTGGAACACATTTCCCATTATCCCTACATGTACCCCCACCTACTTACTCCGGCAGTCGCCCCTCTGGCTTGGGCTCCATCAATATATTCTTACGTACATGGGAATTACTATCTATTGAGGGTGGGCTAGGTTGTACAAGGTTCACCAAACTTATCACTGAAGTAAGACCACCCCCCTATTAAGCAAAGAAATCTTGTTTCAACTCCAATTCAGGTAGAGATCACCTAAGAAGTTGATCGTTGGCTCCAGAAAGGAATTGTGGAACCGTCAACTAGCCCGTGGTCGAATCTGATTGTCATAACTAGAAAACCAAATGGCATCTACGCTCTGTGCTTAAATTTCCGCTACGTTCCAGAAGTTAATTGATCGGTTAATTGGTCCTCAAATGGTCGTTTGCATATCTCGGCAATATTATTGTAGCGACTCGCACCTTTTTTGAACACTTACATTGGTTGCAAGTAGTTTCGTCAACTTAGACAAGCCGGTTTAAAAATCAATCCCGAAAAGATCAAATTTTGCCGATCACAGGTGCAATATTTAGGTTTTCTTGTCGACTAGGAAGTATTAAGAATTGATCCCGCTAAAGTTGAACCCGTTTTAAACTTTCCACGTCTGAAAACAAATAAGTAATTACGTCGGTTTCTAGGAATGGCCAGCTGGTACCGTCCTTTTGTTTCCGATTTCGCTACAGTTAGTGAGCCTTTAACGCGCCTCTTAACACATTAAGAATCGCTTACGAGTTTTCTCGTGTTTCGCGCCCCATCTATCACGGACCGCTCACGATGTACCCGTGCGGTCCTGGGCGTATGTCTTATAGATTTCTTAGCGGTCCTTAATGTGTTAAGAACAAATTCGTCATGGATGTGGGGTCAGGAGGCAAGTTACGGCATTCCAGGAAATTCAATTGTGATTAACCACCGCCTCCGTGCTACGTTGCCCAGATTCTTTTGTTACAATTTACTGTGCAGACGGATGCCAGTACTATTGGTCTTGGGGCCGTTCTTTCGCAGGAAAAAGATGAACAAGAATGGGTTGTTACGTACGCGAGCAGAATCCTTAACGACGCCGAGATAAAATACACCGTAACGGAACTGGAGTGTCTCTCGCCTTCTATCTCATTTAGAAGAGTATGGTTTCCGTGTTATAACCGATCACAGTAGTCTCCGTTGGTTGGATAATTTCAAAAACCCTTTCGGCTGTTTAGCCAGTTGGGCTTTAGCCCTCCAAGGCTTGATTAAGAAATTATTTATCGAAAAGGTAGTTTAAATCTTGTGCCGGATAACGTGTCGCGATCAGCGGAGGGTAGTGTCCCCCTGGCGGCCTGCGCCTTTAAGCTCGAGGAAGGGAGCATCGATTCGTGGTACATCAACCGAGACGTCGAGGTCTCAAATCAGCCCGGAAAATGTTCAGATTGGCGTTTTGAAAACGGTCAACTTTATTATCGACGGGTCGACCCTTTAATACGTTGACCACCGTTCAACGTGTTAATTGAACAATTTATGGAAGACCTCGACCTATGAAAGTTGGTATAGTTTCGGAGTTGATGGTTCCGGGCTTTGCAGGAGGCTCGTGGTGATATTCAGTCGATATTCATTTAGGGGTATACAGGTGTAACAGAATTGATAGTCGCGGTTTATATTGCGCTATCCTTGTCGAAAAAGGAGTCGAAAAGTCCTATTCTATTATTTCTTACAGTGTATAAATTTCTTATAATAACTAATTGAAGCACAGCCATTCAAGCGCGCTTCCCAACGGAAGGCATAGTGGAGAGGATGCCGGTTGGGCTGCGTTCGGCTGTCTGCGGTGTACCAGCGTCCTCTTCGCTATGCGATCCGTTCAAGAATACGATTGATTGGCTATGCTTCAATTTGTTATTACAGGGAATTTATACACTGTAGGAAAAAATAGAACAGGATTTTTGGACCCCTTCTTTAACAAGGATAGCGCTGTATAAACAGCCAGACTCACACGCACATACTTACACACATCATTCGAGTGCGCAAATCCAGCAATAAAGAGATTCAGAATCTTCCCGATGGTACGACATAACGTTATTGCACTGACTGTTACGATGTTCGTCACTCAATGATTTTAGTAGCTTCTTTTCAGAATGAGTTCACTCGCGGTGCATATTCATCGATTAATATACCGCGGTATTAATTGTCATTTATTAATATTTTTTTTACGTTCTTAGCAGACAGTATGTGATAAATGTCTTTTTCGTTTTCGTCTACCTTAATTTATTGACTTAACTTCACTTTTATTTTTCCAATGTGTGATAATGTGATAAATACCTTCCTCCTCTTTAATTCGAATAAAATTTACTAGGTGTGTGTATTACTACTTTCGACACTACTGTGTTACAATTTATCCCTCTTAGCAGGGGCGAAAGTAATACTACACGTATTTCCAAAAATCTTTAATAGCTTGTAAATGCTTGTAAGTAAACATGGTAAAAAATGTCACGGCTAGAATGATATATAATATCATAAGCTCCCTGCTTGCCTATCAAGTTCTGTGTCCGGTTCCACCAACCTTGGTTAAATCATTTATTACCTAACCGTAGATTAAAGTTAATATCGTAGTTAATCATGGGTTAAAAACGTATGTGTTCCACCACATTTATTTAGAGCGTGATTAAGTAATCGTATACACCATTCGAAGTAAGTTGAATTATCGGTGAACGCGTTCGGGTGATTGACTGATACTCTGATCGACTAGAAAGCAAGATATATGCACTCTTGTCAAGACACTAGCTTCATGCAAGCACTTATTTGACAGATGCGACCTTCAAGTTCTTTGGTTAAGATATCATAAAATATTTTCAAGCATACTTCGATCATTAAGAAATTGTAAATAAAATAAAAAAGGTTTTCATTTGTTTTGTCACAAAATGTTAATACATACTCAATGTATCGCGTTTTCTCCACGTTTGTGCAGTTTTTAGGTTGAAGTTCTATTAACTAAAGCTAAATGATCGATTTTGGCTGGTTAATGGAAATTAACCCGCCATTAAAATGTCGTGGATCGTGCAACTCATCGTAACTGAGGATTAGCTTTTTGATCGAAGTTGGTGGAACCGGGCAGTACTCAAACGTTTAGTAGGATGGGCACAATGATTACAAATATTAGAAATGTTGCTTCGGACCTCGTCCTCCCCTATATTAACACCTTCACTGTTGCGTTTTGACTATAAACAGGCCATTACAGTCCATACTTTTTTGAGGAAGTCAAAACTATCACAAATATGTGACGCCAAATTCTTGTGAGAAACCGGTGAGTCACACATATGTGATGTGTGATGGCGAACGTATTAACAATTATTCAGTCTAAATATTGTGCCATACTTTATAAACATAAATACTAAATATATTAACGTAAACAGTTGGTACCCACAGCCGGTACGGAAAATCACGTAAAACTGATGCAATATTCAATATGTTAAATACTCTTGAAGATGTAATATACTAATTACATATTCAAATTCCATCCATAGCGTTAATAATTAATAATCTTGACTACGTAGACGGAAACGTCATTCATAAGTGATGTCCGATCCAATCAAGCTTTTTATATTTAACGTTAATGGCACAAAAATAAATGCAAGCCTAGCTGTACTGGATCCATCATCATCATGTATTCAGTTAACGTACTACACGTTGGATACACCATATTTTATAAAAGTACACAACCTTTAATGATAATAGAAAACTAATTATTATAACGAAGAAAATGTATATGAAATCATGTGAGTACCTGTCTACGATACCACTATCAGATAGATATCTATTCTCGATTATGACATTGGGCAGCTTGTTTTGTGGATCCGTATATGCATCCAAAGCTAACGTTTCAGCAGTAGCATTGGGATTCCACAACCAGTTCAATTTAGCACGTCTATCTTCAATGATGCTCGGTGCTCTACATTTTAACGTTATTGAATCACCAGCAAATACAACCTGACTTTGATCTGGTTTAATCTCAACGACAGGAATTGACCATTGACATTGCAAATCTTCAGAAAGTTTCAACTTTTTTAGCGGCTGACCTTTCAGTCCTAGTGGTAAAGCACACTTTGTAGAAGGACTAAACATAAAACACGGATACTGTTAGGAAATTCATATTTTAAGAAAAATGTGCACAATAAAGTTACATTGATCAAATTATCAAATATTAATACCTCATTTTAACAGAAAAGTTGTGCATCCAACTGATAAACCAATAAAGGTTGCAATCACACTCCCATGGGTTATTTGCAAGATCTCTGCAAAAAGAACATGTAATGAATATAAATCAGGCTGACGAAGCGAATAACTCGGAGGTATTGAGCATGTAACTTACAATTGCTTCAGTGCTTTAAGTCCATGAAACGTACCCTCCTTCAATGTTGTCAGATTGTTACCATTGAGTTTTCTACAATAAGTTTTCTTATATTATAATATATTTTTATTAAAAAAAACAACGTATCACTTAACGGACAAATTTCGATTGGGTTGCTTTCGGATGTTTTACTGATTTCGTTTGTTTTTTATTTGAAATTACTAAACACTGTATCAGTCTACTTCCTATTTATACAGAGCATAATACATATACAAATATCCGTATGATCCGTTAACTGTAAATATTCCAATAATAAAACACCGTGTGATAAAATTTTGAAGACACCCCAAATCTTAAGGGTTTTGTTATAAAATCAATGCGATGCTCCTCAAACCACTGGTATGATTCGGTTGCGGTGGATTAACACATTGCCGTGTTAATTCCTGATTGTAAATACATACATAAAAAGGGCGTAATACCATGGATTTTTCCTTAAGGTGATATGAAAGAGTCAGCCTATATATATATATATCTGAGAAGTCAAATCGTTGGTGCAAGTATTCTCTGAATTGGAGACTGAATTGGATGTTTACGGTTCTTGGAGGCTTAGAATCGAAAATGAAGAGTTTCAGGATCTAGATTGAACAATTTAGAATACCATAGAAATGAAATACTACAGATTCAGATGGGAAAATATTGAAAATACTTTCACCAACGATTACAGGAGAATGCTGGCTTGTCTCGTGGCTAACACGTGTTTTAGAGCAAACATTTAGTTGCAGCTAAACATCACAGATGGCGACGTTGGTCCTAAACAGTCCTTAGAATAATGAATTCCTGAGATTTCGACAGTTTTACATCGATCTCTTCATCATTACTTACTTTATCGAAATGACAAGTGACTTTAATTCATATGATTGTCAATGTTGAGTGCCAGACCAGATTACCGCTTGGTTGCGGCGCTAGGCGCCCCCCAAGCGGCCAGGCACATCATAACACACCCCTCCGGGGTTCGGGTT